GCACACACACAAAAGTGATACAATGTGAAAAATGTGTAAAATAGACAGCTAGTGGGAACCCGCTGTATAGCACAGGAAGCTCAGCTTGGTGCTCTGTGGTGACCCAGATGGGTGGGATTGGGGGCGGGGGGGGGGTAGGTCCAAGAGGGAGGAGATATATGTATACATATGGCTGATTCAGTTCGTGCACAGCACAAACTAACACAACATTGTGAAGCAATTATACCCCAATTAAAAAAAAAAAGTTAAGACAGAAGAGGATTTGTATGCCCAATATTCACAAGAATGACTTGAATTAGGTTGGGTGATGAATGGCCCTATCCCCATTCATTTCATTCAGCTTGAAAAAAAATCTTAGGAGTTAATTAATTGATCTGCTTGAAACTTCACAGCTAATGGCAGAGACAGAAGCACTCCCACTCTTGAACCAACGTAGCAAATGATTCATCAAGGTGAGGTGGTACCTCTTAGCCGATTTAAATGGCTTTTACAATGAAACATGTTGAAGATGTTAATTGTTAACTGCCCACTTGATATGGTGTTAAATGTAACACATATGGGTGAAAGGATAGAGATTCTACTCTTATTTTATAGTAACAATAATAAACTGAAGTTCCTGCAAGATTGAAAGGGAGATTGGAATTGCTTGGTAATCCTATAAGAAATACAAACATTTTAAAGTGAACAAAGACAAAGGATCCCTATTATTATATATTCCTTATTTTATGATCCTCTTTTCCTCCAGTGGCTTTTTGCTGGTTACATATTCTTTCCCCTGTGAAGATTCTCCCTTAATTCATTACCAAAATATACTTCTGAAGGTTCCCCTCCAACCATTTAGTTCTCACCTTTAAATAACTGATGAGTAAATTGACCACATCAACTTCAGTTAAAAACACCTCCCTCCAGGGACTTCCCTGGTGGCACAGTGGTTGAGAATCCACCTGCCAATGCAGGGGACACGGGTTCGAGCCCTGGTACTGGAAGATCTCACATGCCGCGGAACAACTAAGCCTGTGCACCACAACTACCAAGCCTGTGCTCTAGAGCCCGCGAGCCACAACTACTGAGCCCAAGTGCCACAACTACTGAAGCCCACGCGCCTACAGCCCGTGCTCTGCAACAAGAGAAGCCACCGCAACGAGAAGCCCACGCGCCGCAACGAAGAGTAGCCCCTGCTCCCCACAACTGCAGAAAGCCTGCATGCAGCAACAAAGACCCAATGCAGCCAAAAATAAATAAATAAAACAAATTTTTAAAATAAAAACAAACTTTCCTCCAATTTGTCTTCCCATCCACTGACCAAACTCATCCTTCCTCTGGTCCAGCAGAACCAAGAACATGTATTAAAAAACCAGCCCATCCATCTCCTAATTTACAAAACACGACATTTTGCAAACTGTTTACTTAGGTCCATGCCAACAATATTACTCAAATGTAGTGGAGTGAAAAAACCACAGGGAATAGTGTAGTTGGCCAAGAGAAGTATTTGGGGATCTAAAATTACAGGGAAAATCATACAACATTCATTTTACTTAGTCCCAAATCTCTATCAGATGATGTTTAGCTGAAAGATTCTAAAATTGGCAGTGAGAAAGGAAAAGCTGTCTTAAAGTTTGGGCCATGCCAGGGTAGCCTTCAGAGAAGTAGGAGGAAATGGAATAAGGTGGTGTGTCCTTGAAAAGCTGTCATAATAAGCAGTGTCTGTCAGGCAAGGGATAAGCACACAGAAAAAATAGTAGAAAGAAAACCAAAGGAGAATTATTGCCCAAAGGTGAGAGGAAACAAAAAAGGAAGTAGAATTCTTTAGGTAGCATTTAGAGGATAGTATTTACAACACAGCAAAATCAGAGATGCTGGTTCAATTCAATTCTACTCGATTCAGTTAGCATTTGTACTATGGCAAGGAACAGAGCCTGGGTACTTAAAATGACACAAAGAAAATCCTGCAGGACTTCTCTGGTGGCACAGTGGTTAAGAATCCGCCTGCCGATGAATGGACCAACACAGGTTGGATCCCTGGTCTGGGAAGATCCCACATCCCGCGGACAAATAAGCCCACGTACCACAACTACTGAAGCCCGAGCACCCTAGAGCCCGTGCTCCGCAACGAAGAGTAGCCTCCGCTCTCCGCAGCTAGAGAAAGCCTGTGTGCAGCAATGAAGACCCAACGCAGCCCAAAATAAATAAATAAATAAATTTATTTTTAAAAAGTGTTTTTAAAAAAAAAGAAAGAAAGAAAATGCCACTCCCCAGGAGCTCCACGTTGATGGGGAGGCAGATGCCCCTCTCCCCTGGTCCAGCCATACCCAGAGCAAAGTAAGAGTGAAAACAGAGTGCTCCCAGAGAGGGGGAGAGAGAGCCATGATTTTCACCAGGGGATCTGAGAAACACCAAGAGGGGTGTGTAAAAAGCTGAGGCGCCCAGGAGGGAGAGGGTCTAAGCAAGTAAACAGGAACCCCTGAGAGCTCACATCTGTCAAATACTGTTGTGTGGGGGGCAGGGGGACAGCTGCTCTCCAAGAACTCTTTGTATATTACTTCATGCGGTCCCCCAACAAGCCTTTGAATGATAGCACAAACCATCATCACACCTGTCCTGTGAATGGGGTAACTTAGCCTTGCCTCAGCTCTCACAGTCCAAGGTCACATAGTGAGGATGTGTTGACAAAGTGTTAACATCAAGTTAGGTGCCTTGTATTCTAACTCCAAAGACCGAACTTCTAACCATGGACCTATACTGCCTCTAGTTCACGGCACGCAAAACTGAGGCCTAGAAAGGACAGAGAGAAAGAGGAGGAAAGCAAGAAAGGCGGGTCAGGTGGGACAGTAACAGGCAGCATTTCCTTCTTGTAACCACATTGTCTTGGGTCTAAATGACACCGTGCACACAGATTCTTCGTGCCCAAGGGACTGTGCTTACATGAAATGTTCAGTCCTTAATAATAAGCTAGGCCAATTAATAGGTGCACGTGAGCTTATACAAATACAGCTCTGATGTATTTTTCCATAAGTACCAAAACAACCACTTTGTGCCACACCAACAAATTATGTACTATTTTCTCTCCCCTAGGAAGATAGGAAACATCATTAGTAAAACATGCAGTTAGAGCGAGATAATCCTGGTGGCACAGCGGTTAAGAATCCACCTGCCAGTGCAAGGGACACGGGTTAGATCCCACATGTCACGGAGCAACTAAGCCTGTGTGCCACAACTACTGAGCCTATGCTCTAGAGTACGCGCACTGCAACTACTGAGCCCGCATGCCACAACTACTGAAGCCCGCGCGCCCAGAGCCCGTACTCCACCAACAGAAGTCACCACAATGAGAAGCCTGTGCACCGCCATGAAGAGTAGCCCCCGCTCACCACAACTAGAGAAAGCCCGTGTGCAGCAATGAAGACCCAACACAGCCAAAAAAAAAAAAAAGAGCAAGGTAAGATCATAGTTTCTCCCTTATCTGTAAATTATTGTGCTTAATTATCATATCAGGGTGGTTTTAAAAACATGAGCAGCTGAATGTATTATTTTCTGCATTTTTGTGTATTTAAAATATTTTATAATTAAAAATAAAATATTTAGTGGAAAAAGCGCCCAATGTGTTCCAAAGTTTCAACCTTTTTTAAAACCACTTTATTTAACCACCTATGTATTATTAACAATTTTGCAAGTGTCCAACTCTTGTAAAAATATATGTATTTATCATTCAACTAACAAAAGAAAAACTGGGTGTAATAACCCTGTATGCAGCCATCTTTGTACGTACTATTTAAAACTGACCTAAAGCAATGTGTAGAGGGCTCCTGCCTTGACAAGTTTCTAAATTGCTAAGTGTTAGGCTTGGCCTTCAGATTCCCACACAAAGTGTCATAAATATTGCCCAGGACAGGGTTCCTTCTGGATCACTGTTTCTCGAAAGGTGGGCCACCTCCATCAGCATCACCTGATGTGCTCATTAAATAAAAATCCCAGCGACTCTGATTCAAGAAAGCAGTTTAACAAACTCCTCCAGCGACCAGCTGCACATTCATGTTTAAGAGGCACCATAGAATCTCTTTAAAGCAGAACAAGAGGAAATACCCAGAGGTATAACCAAAATCACCAGTGGCCAGTTCCTCACATTTTCTGCTCCCTGAAGCAGCCAGAGCTCCTGAATTAGGGAAGAAGCCACATTAGATCCACAGTCACAGACTATGTGGGAGGAGCGCAACTGAGCCTCTGCCCACCCGCCCTGGGGTCATTGCTAGAGAATCCCTGACTGCCTCAGGGGTGGCCCAGCTCTGAGTAGCCCACTTCTCAAGCCCACTTCTCAAGCCCACGTGCAGAGCATCTATGGCCTTCTATCATGAGTTGAATGGTTCCCCCCACAAAGAAAGCTGTGTTGGATTCCTGATCCCTGGTACCTTAGTTTGTGACCTTATTTGGAGACAGGGTCTTTACAGAGGTAACCAAGTTAAAAATGAGGTCATTATGGTGAGCTCTAATCTGATATGATGGGTGTCCTTATAAAAAGGGGAAATTTGGACACAAAGATAGACATGCCTAGAGGGGAAATGAAGTGAAGAAACACAAGGAGAAGACAGCCTTCTGCTAGCCAGGGAGAGAGGCCTGGAACAGATCTTCCCTCACAAGGAACCAACCCTCTTGACACCCTGATTTTGGACTTCTAACCTCCAGAACTCTGAGACAATACATTTCTGTTGTTCTAAGCCACCCAGTTTGCGGTACTTTGTTACAGGCTTGGGAGATCAGACAGCGAATAGAGGCAGTGAAAGCCAGTCCAAAGCAGGGCTGTCAAGGAGAGTCGAAGACCAAGACCTCAAGAGAGATGCTGCCACACTGGACGTCCAGGAAGCCTAGGGCAGTAGAAAGAACAATAAACCAGGAGCCACAGAGCTGGGGTGGGGTCTGAGCCCTGCCCCCCATTTAAAAAGGGGGTAATAAATCATGGCTGCCTGGTCTACACTCCCAGGGTGTGAAGGTCAAGAAAATGCTCTCCAGTGCTGGCTTCTGCAGCACATATACTAATATTGGAAAGATACAGAGAAGATTAGCATGACCCCTGCACAAGGAGGACATGCAAATTCATGAAGCATTCCTTTTTTTTTTTTTTAAGTAAAAGAAAGAAAGCAAACGCCCTTCACAGGCTCCAAAGCACTGCACAAATTACCCTCCCCTCATCAGCAGCTTCTCAGCCCCTGCTCTGATCTTGGTCAGTGTTACAAGAGTGGCGACACCGCCCTAGCACTCCTAGTTGCCCTGTTCATTGCTAGGAAGAACTTGGAAGCAAAATCTGCATTTTAGGAAAACTTATTTGAGCTCCCAAACATGTCTGAGTATGTTTGGAATATCCAAGACAACAAATAACAGGCTCAGAAACAGCAGACTCCCGTGGTGGCCAAAGGTCCTTTGAACAAGGCAGGCTTCCTAAGGGCCAAGGGTTCAACGGGCAGAGAAACACTTCACTAAAGCAGGCCGGGCAGGGGCGGGAGGGCGGGGTGTTCAGGTTGGCCCAGGGGCTGCAGGGTTTCACAATGAAGGTTTAAGTATGATCGCAGCCCAGGATTTATGGTTCCTAAATGTTTGTTTTAACCAGTGCTGAGAACACATATTTGACCCAGTGTGAACTTGACCTCTGGGTCCTTCTCCCTTCACCAGGCGGTCTGTGCCGCACGACAAGATTTTCCAGCCGACCCTCCCACCCCTGCTCCCAGCACTGGGGCCGGGGCGGTGCTCCCAGCAGCTGCCACAATAAACCTCACTGTGGATCTATTGGCGAAGCAGCTGTCAATGGCCACAGCGGGCAGACGAAAGCTGTGTGATCACTCCGGGCCCAACTCCCGAGCTCAGCTAGCGCAACGCCAAGCCCAGAGGGACAGGAGACGGCCTGAAAGGCCTCTGTCACCTGCAACTCCAGCCACACTCCACACTCATGGACGATGCCCTCGACTGCGGCAATTCTAAGCACCAAGGGTATACGTGACTATGTCTCTTCTGTATATAATTAAGGAAAATGTCTAGGGTTGGCTTTGGGGGTTTTTTTCCCCCAAAGCACTGTGGGCTGAATGCCAGTGGAAAAGCAATGGAATATCGATTTTCTGTTTCTTGCTAAGGAGAGAACAAGTCATTTGATGTGCCATGAGTTAAGTGAGTAAAAACAGACCCCGCACTCTCTACAGCTGGCTGCGTTTCTCCTCTATTCACAGACCCTGGCACATGGTAAAAGCTAAACAGATATCTGTTAAAGAAATGAAAGAACCATCCATGCATTTAGGGAGGGCCTGCCATGTGCCAGGCACCCGCTTTGGATTCAGATCTGCCATCTTTCCTGTTCCATCCACCTCATCCTGCCAACCCGGCCTCACCCTCATCTCCCCTTTATTCTTTTGTGTTGTCTGTTCCCAGGTCCAGTCTCCTCTTTAAAGCTGAGCCCACTGGCAATGTCTCTCTCTGGCCTGCACTTACCCTGAGAGGGGCACAATAAGATTGGAACAACCAAGAGGGGGTGGGTTCAGTTTAGACAGAGGGAACAAAATGCAAAAATGGGGATAGGCCAAAAAAAGTTAACACCCTCCCAATAAATGTGAACCCCTTGGAAAGGGAACAGATGCAGTGCCTTCTCCTTTGCCCAAAATGGACATCGCTATCAGCAGTCGTTCCACATTAATAACTAAAATGCCATATCTCGAGCTGTGATTTCAATTCCTAGAGACACACATACAGAGGGTGTCTGGAAAAGAAGCATTAACATGCAACTGGGCATCTCTATGTAGAGACTGGGTGGCTAAAGCCCTCGGGGCTGCCGTTGCGGACACCCACATCCATTCTCTCTGCCCGTGTGGGTCTGCTGCCATTTGTTTCACATCTCTCTGATTGGCAATTTCAGGTTTGCCAAATCTTCAGTCTTCAGAAGCATTTGCCTATGGCCCATTTAAATTAAGTTTCAATCAACTAAAAACAATCCAGTCTGCCTCGAAGGGGCACCTTGTTTTCCTCACAGGATTAAGCAAACTGAACAACAGAAACATATCCCAACTCTTATGCAGAAATATTTTTTGCATCAACTGGAAAACGGTCTCTACAAACTGAAATTCTTCAGCTAAACCCTTTCAATTATCCTCAAAATAGAACTGACAATTACAAGGCATCCTTGCTGTTGATTTAAATTTAATGTGCACATTTAAATGTGCATACACATTGTATGATAACGACTACCTTTTTTTAATTTGAAGTATAGTTGTTTTACAATGTTGTGTTAATTATGTATATGATGATTACTATCGTAATAAGGAAATTCATGTTGACATGCCATTGGTTTTTGTATTTGTTAAGTGTAATAAACCATATCCAAGTGCAATTGTTCAATCTCAGCATAATAAGGAAGTGAGAGAGGAAAGAGACCACAAAGCAATTGCTTTTGCAGTCTAAATTTCACTAGTATTTACCAAAGTAGTTGTAGTCACAAAAATTGGTGTCAGAATTTTTTCCATTCAATTTATGAATACCTTAGGGGAGAATTTTCCATCTAAACAGCAAGCTTTACACAAAGAGAACTAGAGATACACAAATAATCTAATATTTAGTCTCTTTCAAAGTTCTCCTAAAATAAATCATTCTGGGATACAAAACAACCCAGCCTACTTTATTTCTTTTTTCTCAGTAATCAAAGCCAGGCAGGATGGAACTGACTGGCGTTTTCATTTATTCCTTTTTTTATTCATCTATATTGAGGTATAATTGACAAATAAAAATTGTATATATTTAAAGTGTATAACAATGTTTTGATATACGCACACATTGTAAAATAAGCACCACAGTCAAGCTGATAAACATACCCATCACCACACAGTTAACGTGTGTGTGTGTGTGTGTGTGTGTGTGTGTGTGTGTGGCGGGAACGCGCTAAGATCTACCCTCTGAAAAAATTTCAAGTATATAACACAGTACCGTTAACTATAGTCACGCCGCTGTATATTAGATCTCCAGAGCTTATTCATCCTGAGGGACTGAAACTTTGTACCGCTTGACCAATACCTCCCTATTTCCCCCTCCCCCAGCCCTAAACTACTTTAAAGCTGTAATATAAAAAGGGATCCACATGTACATTCTTTGAAAAGAAGATGACGAGAAACATACATAGGGAAGAAAGAAAACCAAATAATGGATAAATGAGACAGGATTTACTTGGCTTGATTCAATAATAAACTCTAAGACTCCTTCTGGTTTCATCAAGGCTTTCACATCCATCATTCTATTTCACCTTGATACCTGTAACAATCCTAGAAAGTAGTCAAATTTGGGGTTTGTTTTGTTTTGTTTTGTGTTTTTGGCCACGCCGTACGGCATGTGGGATCTTAGTTCCCCAACCAGGGATTAAACCCACACCCCCTGCAGTGGAAACGTGGAGTCTTATCCACTGGACCGCCAGGGAAGTCCCAATAGTCAAGTTTTTAGCACAGTCATTTCAGGATGGGAAAATATAAGGGTCAGAGAGGTCAAATGAATTCCCCAAGGCCACACAGCTAGTGAACGCTTGAGGGTTTAAACTCAGGTTTCCTGAACCCAAGGCCAAGGGTCTTTCCTGGTGTCACACTGCTTAGCCATGGACACAAGTTTTGCCGCATCAGTGGTAACCCCAGTTGTCCCATGTGAAGGTATAAGGCTCCCTCATCTCCCTGGCTCTGCACAGGGAGACAAACACAAGACCCCCCATTGAAACATATCCATCTAGCGTATATTACTTTGGATTGAGCACTGACCTAACCCAGCATCATTTTTAAAAACACAACTGTTCTTGAAAGAAGTTGTGATTTAAGCTTCCACCATTTGGGCCTGAATTAATTTGTCAGATTGGGCAGTACTGGAAGGCTAATGTTACACTGATTGCTTAGGTCCCGGTGCTGTCCAAGGGCTACCTTCTAGAAGCTGGAAGGATAACTTAAACCAAAAGCCGGAAGCATTTGTTATTGGTATCGTGAGACTAAGCCAACGGAGCAACTTCCTCTGGAACACTGTATACAGTAACTGTGCAACCCTAACTTTTCTGACTGGTAGCCTTTTGCAGCCTTTCTCTTTCTGGGTCACCAGAGGGCAAACCTGGCTAAACCGAGGCACACTTGTGCCCTTGCCTCCCTCATCTGGAGAAGCAGGAAGCCATGAGGTGATTCCTCAAGATCGGATGTTCTCCTTCTAGAGCATCTTCTTTGGACCTGCAAATCCTCAGACAACCTAAGAATGGGGTACTACTCTCTTTTCAGAGAGGGCACTCAACGGCATCATTTGCCAAGTAAACTTCTTTGAAAGTCTTAACACATTCTCTCTAATGGGCACCAAGGAGCACTCACCATCACCTATAACAACCTGCTCTGTATCTTTAATCTTTACACAGCAATACCCACTTTGCACAGCAATGCTGCTGTCATGGATGAGCTGTCTGCACATAACAGGCAAACAACATCATAGCAGGAGTTACCGAAGGGAGGAGAGGGTATGTAATTGGACCCAAGCAACTGTAAATTCAGGAAAATGCTGGTGCGCTATTGTCAAGTGTAATCTAAGAAGATGTGAAGAATTACGACAATCTAAAATGCCTGGGGCTTCCCTGGTGGCACAGTGGTTAAGAATCTGCCTGCCGATGCAGGGGCCACGGGTTCGAGCCGTGGTCCGGGAAGATCCCACATGCCGCGGAGTAACTAAGCCTGTGTGCCACAACTACTGAGCCTGCACTCTAGAGCCCACGAGCCACAACTACTGAGCCCGCATGCCACGACTACTGAAGCCCGTGCACCTAGAGCCTGTGCTCCACAACAAGAGAAGCCCGCGCACCGCAACGAAGAGTAGCCCCCGCTCGTCACAACTAGAGAAAGCATGCGAGCAGCAACAAAGACCCAACACAGCCAAAAATAAATAAATAAAATAAATTTAAAATTAAAAATAAAATGCCTACAACCCTGAGTATTTCTGACCTAGTGGTTTGAGTTCAATATCAAGGAGGCTGATTAGTGAGTTCATGTCTGCCACTACTCCTTGATCACAGCCAAATCATAACCCACCTGGACACTGCTTTTTATAAAACTAAAGCCACTATGCCAAAGTCCTGTTTCTTTC